AAAAAGATACAAAGAATGGATAGAAACAAATATCCTGAATGGCAAAGGAACCAAAGAAAAAATAGACAACCTGGTAAAAACCATTGGAAAATTCGTCAAATGGATAACTATATCATGAGAATTAAATAAACTAAACAAAAAATTATATAAACCATGACCTTTTCCAACAAAAAAGATATGGAAAAAAATCTTAGAAATCGAATTACAAACAACAGAACAAGAGCCCCTATTCAGCAAACAAGAACACAAAGAAATGCAGATAATACTGTGAAACTATGGGATATATCAATCAAGTATAGCAAACAAGATATAAATAGAATGATCAACAACCAGTATGGCCAAATAAAAGAAACAAGGATGAGAGTAAATGGTCTATATACAACCTATTGGATAGATTTTCAGGACCCACAAATTGCATGTGAAATCTTTACCCAAAAAGTAATAATCTTAGGAGAAGAATGCTTAAGAGTAACACAAACTAATGTCACATACAAACAACTTATAGAAAATTAAAAAATACAACCAGCAGTAAAAATAGTAGGAATTCCTTCAGGGATGACCTCTAGAGAACTAATGATTATACTCCAACAATCAGGAGCTGAAACATGTTACATGCCTATAAACTCTAGAGTAAACAGAAGAGGGTTAGCATTTACAACCTTCCCATCAGAAGAACATGTACAAGAATTTCTAAAAGGAAGTGTAATAATTAGTAGTTATCACTTAACTCCCTTACCAAAATTAACAAAAACTTGTCATGTATGTAAAGCCCATGATCACCTGATCACTAACTGTCCAATAAATAAGCAAAGACAAGAAAGAAAAAAAAGGCAAGAACAAGCTTTTGACAAATTTGGAAGAATATATAAAAAATATCAACCATCAACATTTAATAATATGAAGAAGAAATTTACTTTCCAAGGAAACAAATATGCAAATGCCGTCAAACAAAAACAGCCTATCAGCATTAAACAACAAGAAAACTATAGAGAAATAAAAGATCCAGTAGAAGATAATCAAATAAAATCCATTTTATCGAACATTAGCTAACAATTAAACCAACTAAATGAAAAAATGGAAGAATTAAATACAAGAGTAGAAGCAATAGAAAAGGCAATCTTCAACGAAAACGAAAATTACACAGAAGGAAATTCGAACCAAAATGAAATGGACGAAGATGAAGAAACAATAAAATCAGTAGTAAACCAACTCGAAAAAGAAACAAAAAAGAAGTTACAACAATGTTGGAAAAAATTCAAGAAACTATAATTAACATGAACAATAAAATGAATCAAATTGATGAAAGGGTGTCTAATTTTGAAGGAAAACCAAACAATAACAGATCAGGAAATACTATCAATAATAGAAATAATAACATTAACATTATACAATAATAATTAATACAAACTAAACAATTAATAATAATAACAATAATAAACATAATGATAATAACAGAAACAACCTATTAAACAATAATAATAATAATAATATTAACAATAATAATAATAATATTAACATTAATAATAATAATAATAATAATAATATAAATAATAACAATAATAACAATACGAGTACACTAAACAATACAACCCAAAGACAAACTCAAAACTTTCTTTCAGAACCTCCCATATAGAAAAACCATGGAAAATAGTAACACAAAATATATCAGGCCTCTCGAAATCAACTAAGCAACAATACCTGTGAAATTTTTGCGAAGAACACTTATTAGATATATTACTCTTACAAGAAACAAACCTAATGGAAACAAGCAACAATCAGAACTCTACCTTCTTCTCACACATACACAACACCAAAAGTAATCAAAAATACAGAATTAACGAACCAGATCAATACCAATCATGGCATTCCATGTATAACAAAAGTGATAAAAACAAAGGTCATGGAGTAACAATAACTCTAAAAAAAGAAATAGCAATACATGTATTTAAAATTGAAAAAATAGAAGGATACGCAATTTTACTTAAATTATTATTCAAAGAAAAATACATAGTAAATATAATAAACATATATAACCCTTCACTTAGACAAGAAGCAATATCCATAAGAAACAAAATAAAATAATGGTTAATAGACCAAATTAACTCAATAAAAATGAAAAACCAATTTATAATAGTAGGGGAGACTGGAACACTGTTCTGAACCTAAACAAAGACCGAGAATCTTATATAGCAGCTAATCCACCAAGAGAAAATAACCAGATACTTAAAACGCTTAAACAACTAGGGCTAACAGATACATACGAGTTACTAAGCAATAAATCACGTGGGGAAAAAAATGAATTCACGTATAGCAAGAAAATAAATAATAATGTAGTAGCAGAGGCAAGACTTGATCAAATATGAGTAGATATAGAATCAGGAGTGAAACTACTAAAGAAAAAAGTAATAGACACAACAGAAGAATTAAAAACAGACCATAAAATATACTTAATCAAAATTGACCAATTAGAATGGACTGATAGGTAGTATATAAAATGGCAAAGGAATGCAAATCAAAGAGAACGAAAAACCTGGGACCTGAAGAACACAAAAACAGAAAGTGCTTGGAATACAATATATACAAATCAAAAAAAAGAAGAAAACTCAATAAATGAAGCATGGAATACAATAAAAGAAATAATAACCAAAAGCGCAAACAATAATATTAAAAAAATAACACAACCTAAAAACAAAACAACCAAAAGAAACCTTTGAAAAACACAACAATAAATATAGAGGGAAAAATCCAAAGAATAACTAGGAAAATAAATAAAGCGTTAAAAGAAAAGAAGTTGTACCAACTCAAAATTGATGAGATTAACAGAATTATAGAAAACACAAATAAAAAAGAAAGAATGGAAGCAATACAAAAAATAAATAGAACTTGGAAAAAAGAAGAATGGGAAAAGTGGATAGCAGAAATAAAAAATATAACTAAAATATTAAGAAGAATTGCAAACTAAGAAATTAATACAAATAAATTAATAAAAATCAAACAAGCGATAGAAAAACGCCAACAAAATTTAAAAAACAATTCAAAATATATGATAGACTCAATTCTTGGTCAATGGAAAAAACAAATCAAAACAGATAGAATAATAATTGAAAAACCAAACAACGAAATTAAAGTAGTAAGAAAACCAGGAAAAATAAAAGAGCAAGTTAAAAATCACATGGAAAAATGACTTGAAAAAACACATTCAACAATAAACAACATACCTGAACATTGGGTACAAGACTTTAGCTTACTACTAAACATAAATACGAACACGTATCGATTGTTGACCAAAGAAATAATAATAGAAGAACTAGAAGAAACACTAACAATATTACCTAACAACAAAACACCAGGTCCAACAAACATACCATAAGAATTTATAAAACATATGGGAAAAAAAAGTAAAGAACAAATATGTGAACTGTTCAACAGAATCATAAATGAAGGAGAACTACCCAAAGATTGAATAACAAGCACAATAGTACTATTACCAAAACCTAAAAATTAAGAAGGAAACCTGAATGTAGTAAGACCTATAACACTAATGGAATCAACAAGAAAAATATTTACGAAAATAATTACCACAAGATTAACCAAAATAATAACAGAAAACAAGATCCTCTCAGAATTTAATTTTGCAGATATATCAGGAAGACGAACTGCATTTCCAATCTCAATAATTACTGATATAATAGAAGACGCAAAAGAGTCAGGAAAATCAGTATGACTTCTTTTTCAAGACATAAAATGAGTCTTCGACTCTGTAAATCTAGAATGTCTAGTAAAAGCTCTACAGAGAATAAGAATACCATATAGAATAATTAAAATAATAAGTTTTATAATGGCAAATAGGAAAACATCAGTAATAACAGAATATGGACCAACAGAAGAATTTACAGTAGAGAATGAAGTAGAACAAGGAGATACCTTATCCCCTATCTTGTGGTGTATATTCTACGATATCTTATTAACAAGAATAACTAGAAGATATACAGGATACTCAATGGAAACCTCAATAAGAACAAATATAAATGAAAATGAAAATTTAATACCAATCCTACAACAAAATTTAGCAGCTTTAGCATACATGGATGATACAGTATGGATCGCAAAAAGCAAATACCAAATAAAAAACCTAATACAGGAAGTTGAAGAATTTATAGAAATAATAGGAATTAAAATAAACAGTAGTAAATCAGAACTAATAGTAATAAATGACGAAGCTAAAAATATAAAAAACAAAAATACAATAAATGAAATGAAATTTGGAGGGGAAATACTAAAGTGTACAAAGGATCAACCACCAACTAGATACCTGGGCATATGGATAGAATACAATAGTAACCAACGAACACAATTAAAAAAGATGGAACAAAGAATAAACCACACAACAGCAGCAATTAGAAGAGCAAAAGTAACAGACAAACAAATCAAATATATTTACAACCAAGTTCTAAATTCACAAATACTATATTTAGCTCAAAACCTAATACCAAAAGAAAAATGGATACAAAAACAAGAAGCTAAACTACGATCTACGTTTAAATACAAAGTAAATCTACCTAAAGACATTTCAAACTTAATAATACACTCAGGAATGGGATATAAATTATTCGACTTAAAAAGTAGAATATATAGACAAGCAATAATAGAATTCAAAGAACGACTAGAAAGTAACCAAACATATGGAACCACAACCAGAATTAGAACTCAAACACTCCAAAATAAAATATGGTTAACAACCCCAATATAGAATTACAACTTTCAAACATTTAAAAGGAAAAAGAAAAATAGAATAATTAAAATAATAGAAGGAATGAAAACCTAAAATTAACGATAACAAATAAACTGGGAAAAATTCTAGTAATATTATAAAGAGGACAAATAACAATAGAAAAAATAATAAACGAACCTAAAGAATATGACAAATTAAGAAACCAACTAAAAAAAGACAATATAATCTTTATAGAACAAATAATAAATAACAATCCGAACTACATCAAGTTAAGAAGCTGAAGTCAAATAACAGAATACTCAAAGAAAAGTGCAATACTGAATTGGTACAAAATAATAAAAGAAAAATTCGATAATAATCAAATAAATATTGATAATGAAAGCCTACTAAATAACCAATTCCAACCGTTTGAAGAAAACATAAATAACCAATGGGAAGGAAACAAATTAGTAGCAGCAAAATACATAAACCCTCAATGCCCATAAGAATTAACAATTGGAAGAATACTTAAAACACCCGATGAAGAAAATAATAATATATTAATAGAACATTATATATATGAAAATCAAGGAAACACAATAAATCATCATATAATAAGTCCATATAATAGATGTCACTTAAATGAAACCCATAAAACAAAAGAACAAATAAAAACATTAAAAAAATTAAAAAAAGAGAAAAAAATCAAAATAAAACAATACAAAAACATAAAGTATATATTTGAACTATTAAAAGAAGATACATACAAAATAAAGTCAAAAGAAAAAACAGCAAAAGAAAGACTCCTTTTTTACTCTCCTAACTCAATCGATGAAGCAATATATAAAAGAATGGAAAACGAAACAAATTACCAACACACAAAAGAAAGAGAGCAAAATAATGAGAACAACTTCAACTGCTCTTTCATGCTAACAGAACAAAAAAAACAAAAGTTATTTTACATATACAATAACCTTAATAAAAACAACATAAAAAACTACATAGCATACATCGACGGATCAATGAAAAAACTTATAACAGCAAAACATTAACAAAACAACAAACACAATTGGGATACGGAATAGTCCTACTAAATTAAGATACCAAAGAAATCATTAAAGAATTAAATAGGAAAACAATAGGTCCGCCATCATCAACAAGGGCAGAATTAGTAGCAATAGCATTAACTATAACAATAATACCAAATAACTCAAACATAGAAATCTTCACCGATTTAAAAAGCTTAGTAGATGCAATAATTAACTTTGTCCATTCCAAACAAAGAAAACGCAGAAAACTATATAAAAATTTAAACCTATTATTAATAATAAAAAAAACAATAATAGGAAAAAATATAAACTTAAAACTAACCAAAATTAAAGCACATATAGGCATACTACTAAATGATAAAGTAGATGAATTAGCTCAGAAAGGAACAACAAATAAAATGATAGTAGATCTTAACTACGAACATTCTTTCGTCGAAAACTATCAATTAAAAAAAGAAAACAAATTCTTAGATCATCCAATACAAGAATTAACCAAAAACATAAGTAACATTCAAAATCTAATCAATTGGAAAACACAACTTAGATTTATTCAGTCCTTCAACAGAAATATAGAAAAAACAGTAGATTGAAATGTAACAAAAGAAGTTTTAATACACTCAAAACTAACAAATGGAGAAACATCTAATACAGATCAAAGTCTAAGAACATTTAGAATTAAAATAATATGTGATGAACTATCAACATACACAAGATTAAATAACCTCAAAGAAGAAATATATAATAATTCCAAATGTCCACAATACAAAATGCAAGAAAAAACAACACTCCACATTTTCACGTGCCAAAATAATAAAGAAAATTTCAAACAAATATGAATCAAAACGATTAAAAAACACCTTAAAGAACTAAATATCAACCACGAGAATACTAGAAACTTCATAAGAGAAAAAAATAATAAAAAACAAACTATATTCTTTCGACCCAAATAGAACAAATACATGGAAAATAACAAAAGACTCGAAATTCAGTCTAAGCAATATAATAAGAGGACTTATACTGAAACAACTAATCGACCAACTGGCAGCAGTAACAAAATCAGAAGATCGGAAGAGCACACGTCTGAACTCCAGTCA